CGGGTCGTTAGGGATGCCGCGGTCGTTAGCTTAATTAGTCGTTACCTGCTCTGCATGAACGCAGCCTTCTCCCGTCGTGAGTGCAAGCGTCCGGGTCGTTAGGGATGCCGCGGTCGTTAGCTTAATTAGTCGTTACCTGCTCTGCATGAACGCAGCCTTCTCCCGTCGTGAGTGCAAGCGTCCGGGTCGTTAGGGATGCTGCGGTCGTTAGCTTAATTAGGCGTCTGTTTTTTGGAGGAGATAGAGTCGCTGCACATTCGCATGCGTCACACACATCTTGACTAGTAATGATTAATAGCCAGTAGAGATGTGCGATGTATTATAATATACATGTATGTATGTATATACGTTATATACATTATAATACAAGTTACGAAGTTATATATATATACATAACTTATTGCACTTGATCTTCTGACAGTGCTAACTTACAACTGAGATTACGACATATGTGGCAGTGGTGTGTGTGTGTGTGTGTGTCTGTCTGCGTGTGTGTGTATGTGTGTGTGTGCGTGTGTGTGTGTGTAGGCGTGTGTGCGTGCGTGCGTGCGTGCGTGTGTGTGTGAGCGGGCGTGGGCGCTTTTGGGTGTGTGTATCCGTATGTCTGTCTCTCTTTTTGTCTGTATGTATATCTGTCCGTCCGTCCGTCCGTCCGCCCGCCCGAAACTTTATACGGATGTCGTACTAGTGCGCTCTCTCAGTGGAATATATAATATGAAAACGTGTTTTAAACTAGTGTATATAATAAGCGTACATATTCACGCGACAGGGCCTAACACGTACGCGCACGTATATAGGCAAGAGACAGCTTTATAGATAGCGCCTGACGTAAAGTAATACGATATCATAGCGAATTGATGCAAAGCACGTACGTCAATAATATCCATAGGCTATGCGATATAGCGGGCTGGAGGATGAGTCGTTATGATAACTTGCGCTGATGGAATTTCACCTGATAGCTCGCGGGAATACGCCTTTTGCAAAGAGAGGAGATCTCTGTATGGCAGTTGAATGTTGTGCTGCAGCAAGTGCTGCTGCGCGATGGCGGTAATGTAACGGCTCGACTATAACGCAACAGCCGCGTACTATGTGACTTGTTACGTGGTTATAGATGCAGCATGCATCATGCCCAGTACGTAAGAGCAGCCACGCCATGTTACTTTCACCAAAATGTACGACAATCGGATTTATGCGTTGACTTTTTGTTTCTCGACCGATGTTGCTTCATGTTTGTGAGACTCCCTGCCCCTTTAATGGTATAAAGTTAATAAAATAAAGTTGTATGAAGTTATAGAGAAGCTAAACCACTCTAGATACGTCTCTCAACTCGACTCAATCTCTACGTCACTCAAGGAAATATACGTATGTCTGGTATTTGCTAATTGTGCTAATTACAAGGCAAAATTACACTGAAGAATGCGGTTGCTATTTTATATATATATATATATATATAGATAGATAGATAGATAGATAGATAGATAGATAGATATAGATATATATGCCATAACACCACAAATTCGTCGTATTTTTATACTTGAAGTAAGACGTAACGTATCCGTCCTTATATGTTTCACTTAATCTGTCGCCGTATTTATTTTTCTTGTGACATTATTTCGACTTTTTGAGGAAATAATAATTTTAAAAGTAGATAAGTAGGCGACAGAATACACGTGTGCATTGCAACCCTCTTATCCTTGCCCGCGGCCGCCGAACTAGTGCCATAAGCACATGTGTTTGGCTGTTAAAAACGCAGCCATAGCGAACAAATGGTCGCACTCGCTACGCGACGTCGATGAGCGACGGTGGCGCCACGCGGCGAGCTTATTCACGCGTCGATACGTCATGGTCGACACGTCGTGACAGCAACGCGACCTTTCGCGCGGTTTTATGCAAATAGCTGCTGCTTATGGCTCAGCTCTCTGTATAAACGCTTCAGTGATCGCGCAAGTCGTAGCTGTCATGTGAGGCAAGCCGAGGAACGCGGAATGGCCCGTGGCGGTGGTGGTTATACATATACATATATATATATATATATATATATATATTATAAGGATATATATATATATATAAATATATATAAATATATATATATATCGTACAGGGGGCGCATCGCATCAAAAGCGATCACCGCGCCTTAGCGTCAAGCAACGAAACACGTTTACTGCTAAGCACGTACTGCGCTGTTATGTATGCATACACGTACGTATGCTTACCCTGACCAAGTACTACGATGGTGAGAGCGCACTCACGCGCGTTCCCCATGCAAGCACGCAATGTCAGCTTGCGCGCTCATGGGGAATTTCACGTATGATATATATATATATATATATACTAATACATGTACAGCTAATAAAGTAGCTTGCATGTTTGTTTCTAAAGCGAGAGCAAATGGGCTTAAATGTGTAAAATATGTATATCTCGGCATGTCGTTCTTTGAAATGTCACTGCTGGTAAATGGCGTATTCGCCGAATGTGGTTATAACTTATATACTGTGATTCCGTTCACGCTGCATCGCGCATTCAGTTGCGTTTCTACACACATTTTATGAGAAGAACTTTAAAAGGGTTGTCAATTATCCGTTTCATGAATTGCGCCAATATATATCTCAGCATCAGATGTCCCCATATATTATGGTTATGTGTAGATTCGCAAGGGATCTGCGTGATTTTTCATCGTTTTATCGTTTGTAAGTACCCCCCCCCCTGCAGCCCCTACATATAGAACAAGAGCTATAAGACTTATTATAGGTCCTGATAGAAAGCAGATTGCATCAAAACAAAAAGATAATATAACTTGTAAAGGTCTACATCTTGCATGTCGTGACTATGACATTGTACGCTTAACATGAGTACGCATGTGTGTGTGTGTATGTGTACGTGTACGTGTGTCTGCCTGGCCCGTAAATATAGCGTATGTATTATAATCGTAATTATTACGCATTATTATTATTTATTAATTTATTTAATTAAATTGTTAATTTTTTAATTTAATTATTTATTTATTATGTAATAACTACGTAATAATAATACGTAATAATTATAATTTCGCAATAATACTGTTACTAATAAAGCGTATGCAAATGCAGCGTAAGTATAGCCTGTCGGGTGTATGCATATGAGCTTTGTGTTGCGTACGTCGTCGTATAAGAAAACGTTCATATGTAATTATTCATTTAAAAATAATCACAAAACACAAATCCGAAGTAAAATCTTCGCGAGCCGAGGTCGCGTCACGTGGGCAGAGCAGGGTGGCGATGAAGTTATCGGCAAATCGATTATACTAACGGCATAGCTAATTCGAGGCCACTAGCGCTAGTTCATTAGTTAGCAAAAACGTGACTCTGTTACTGAGCGAGACTGCGGTCAGTGCAGATTAGCCAGTTTCGCAAGATGCTGTGTTAAATACGACATAAACATGTCCGTTCCGCCATTGCTGTTGTTCTAACATTACAACTCTATTCATCATCGAAACGTGAAAGCTAGGACTAATAGACACGGAGTCTGTATGCACTTTAGTGCGTAAAACCAGCCTGTTCTGCTAGCATCTATGACAAATACGACATACGCATATATACGTTCTCTTATGACACTATTAGGAAGATTCTTCCTATATGACAAATATTGTTGTATATGTTGTGCGCATCATAGGAGTTTAGGAACGCTATTATGAACGCAAGCAGTGAATTTCAGCTGTAAAGCGAAACGAAGCAGACTCGCCAATAATTGTCATTATAGGAAGAATCTTCCTATGACAAATAGTGTCATAGGAGAACGTATATGCGTATGTCGTATTTGTCATAGATGCAAGCAGAACATGTTGGTAAAACATACGCATCACAAAATCTGATTCGATAGACGACAAAATGAATGGTTAGAGGTTCGAAGTCGCTCGCGTCACTGCTTAAATTCAAGCTGCGTGCTTCATTGATATTGTTCATGATCTGTCGTGATCGGCACAGCTGTGAGATTTCACTTTTTCAAGTTTGACCTTTTCAAAGACTTAGGGGGCGCATGTGGCGTCGTTTCGTGACGTCATTATTCTCGTCTCACTAATGATATTACTAATCGATAATTTAAAACATTAGTAATAGCTAAATTACTAGCTACAGCTTAATTAATAATTAATAATTAAAGAAAATGCTGGAAAAATGTGTCTGCCACACAAGTTTATATTCAGCAAAAGAGATTGCCGCGCGATGACTTTTTCGTAAACATTGCCGTCCTGAACCACCGATTACATTTAAATTGCAAACTCGAAATGCTTAAAACATCCCCACTTGAAAAATAGTATAAATTTAGTTATCCGAATACCCCAGTTAATCATATCAAAGCTGCATACCACTGCGGGAGGTCTATATTTACAAAATTGGTTTTTCTTTCGTGAGGTATTAAAATAGTTACTCATTCAAGTTCATTATAAAATAGAAACCTTTTCTACTGCAATCCGCAGTGTTGCTGTGTTAATGTTATCAGTGTTAGACTATGTAATGTTTCGTTGAAGTCTTTGAACTATGAATAGTATTCGTTATTAGTTTATACTGGCAATGAAGAACAATTGAAGTGAATAAAGAAGAAGTCGTTCTATATAATTTTAACAAATGCATCGGCGGTCTAAATATGAATTTTTAACAAGTGAGCGTACTTATCCACCATATTAATTTCGAACAAGCATTTGCATATCCCGTATATAGTTACATTAGAGACATTACCAAACATTCGACTAAGCACTGAAACAGCATCAAGATAATAATCTAATGGAAACGACCATTAAAATTTAAATTTAAATTACCATGTGGGGGTGGTTTAAAAGGGGGTGGCTAGCCATTTCTCATTTTAGACCGCAATAAAAACTTATAGTACTCATTGAGAAAATGTGAAAGAACTAGAAGTAGGTGTGAATAAATTATTTGCTATTTGGCCAAACAATCTAGAGAATTTGAATTCGTTTGAGAATTGCGATTCAGAAATTGAAAGCGCCTGCGATATCTGAAACAGCCATCGACAAAGGGCAGATTTGTGAGCGCTTGATCGCCCTATATAGCTACGGAGAATTATATCGTCGACACTGACGATTAATTAGGTGTGTGCATGGGATTAGTTATGATTGAAAAGGTTGGAGTGACATGACAGTGTCAAATGACTGGATCAGTTGTGTCCTAGCAATATATATATGTTTGTGTGTGTGTGTTTGTGTGTGTGTGTGTGTGTGTGTGTGTGTGTGTGTGTGTGTGTGTGTGTGTGTGTGTGT